TGGTCTAGTGTTCATTTATAAATAGTATTCATGCTGCTGCTTCTTGCTGAGGGATACTAATGTAGTCCAGCAGCTAGAATATGTAGACTATGTAGCTGTAATAAAGTCACGTTGCCCCGGGTGTGCCACAAGGAAGCTAGTCTACATTGCATCCCACAAATATCCTGCAAACTTTACATAGTATTGCACCAAAATGCCCTATGAGAAGGTTTCCTGGATCTCTGCAAGAACTACATCATCTCGAGGGCACTGCAGTCCAATGGCTAAACAATCTAGATATCCAGCCATAAGCTTAGCCACGTCTAGTAACTGCTTATTTAATTTATGATCAAAGGAAAAAGAGACCTGGCTGTCTTTCTCCCAGATGATTTTTAATTTAAGTAAATTAAATTTTATTTATAACTTTATCATTTTAACTGTGCATTTTAAAAACAAGTCACCGTATTGGTGTTTATACTTTCATACACATTTTATGTGCTATTTTTGTGAATTTTATGCACTAATGCTGCATTCTCTTATACTGTACTGAATAAACAAAAAACTTACAAATATATTCTTGACAGAACTTCATACAGGGTATCAGCAACGGGGCACAACTGTTGTGGATAGGACTCTCTGCAAATTCCAGCACCCATAAATGGTTGTGGGTGGACAATTCCCCATTTAATAATACGAGGTGAGTATTCCCATGCATTGTATGATTATTTGAGCTGAGAAATATATCTGTTTCCTTCTTCCAGTGTTTTGGTCTTTCACTTCACAATTTATGCATCTGTCCCATGATTCTTTACTATACATATACTTTTTGAACGTTGATCAGTATACAGTTTTGTATGCCATCCCCGGGAGCTGGCTTTTAGTAATTAAAAACAAATACATAAAATAGTTTCAGTTTAAGAAAAGCATGAAACAAGCAATAACAATAAAAAATTAATAGGTCTAGCTCAGTGGTGGCGAACCTATGGCATGGGTGCCAGAGGCGGCACTCAGAGGCCTCTCTGTGGGCACGCGTGCCATCGCCCCAGTCCTAGGCCTTCAGCTGGGTTTTATAAAACCTTTTCGCTTTAGGCCTCCACTGCCGTGTACAAAAAAAAAGGTTCAATCAATCAGTCAATTTCAACTTCTTGCGGGGAAAAAAAATCTTGCAAAGTTGGAATTGATTGATTGAACTTTTTAGTCCCACCCAGTCTGCTGTTACCACCGCAGCCACGCCCACCCAATGGGTCACACCTACCCGGCACCCGATGATGCATAAGTGGGTTTTGAGTTGCAGTTTGGGCACTCGGTCTCTAAAAGGTTCGCCATCACTGGTCTAGCTGGTTAAAATATAATAACCTTAACCCCAGTAATTGGACCTCCAAAGACCTATCAGAAAAATAATATCCTTGGATGCCAACAGGGAGGGTACCACTCCTTGGAAAATGGGGAAGGGAAATAATTGCACTAGACCAGTGTTTTTCAAACTTGGCAACTTCAAGATGTATGTAGACTTTAATGATTGAATTCACTTCTTTGTGTAGTGAAAAGAACAATAAAATCCACAAACCTAGCTGGACACAGGACACAACCCCACATGCTATAAAAAGGGTCCAGGAGATGCAAGCTGAGGGTCCCAAGCAGGGCAAGACTCCTGACACCAGGATGGCTTCATCCCTCACTGAAGAGGTGGGAGGTGATAAAGTCTGCTTTGCTGGGGTGTGTGTAGATAGGTGTCCCACCTGGCTCATAGTTAAGTGGTGGTGTGTTAGGATACCTAATAATAATAGTAATACCTGCAATGAGCAAAAGTAGTAGCAATAGTAATAGGTACTTTGGGTGCAATCCTAAAACAACTGGAGCACCACTTGAACACCACTGGCATTGACAAATTCACCATCAGTCAATTGCAAAAGGCAACTTTACTTGGAACAGCTTACATCCTGGACGATACCTCCAGAACCATCAAACATCCACACCTGCCTATCCCAGGTCTTTGGGAAGGACTCAATAGGTGGATAAAAATGCCAAATCCAGTCAGAACATCTAGCTGACTATGCAACAACCCATAATAAATCTTATTGATGCCTTAAAGATTTTTCTGAGTTTGCAGAATGTAAACTAAATCATAGCCACACTGACTGGATTCGCCCAATATTCTAGGCTAAAATGTGATTGGCTGATGGCTGGCCTTAGTGTGTCATATGAACATATATTTTAATATAATGGTGTAATACAGGTAGTCCTCAGCTTACAACAGTTTATTTAGTGACCGTTCAAAGTTACAACATCACTGAAAAAATGATTTATGACCATTTATTCACACTTATGACCGTTGAAGCACCCCCATGGTCATGTGATCAAAATTCAGATCTTGACAACTGATTCATATTTATGACAGTTGCAGCATCCCGGAGTCATGTGATCACCTTTTGCGACCTTCTGACAAGCAAAGTCAATGGGGAAGCCAGATTCACTTAACAACCGTGTTACTAACATAACAACTGCAGTGATTCACTTAACAACTGTGGCAAGAAAAGTCGTAGAATGAGGCAAAATTCACTTAACAACTGTCTCACTTGGCAACAGAAATTTGAGGTTCAATTGTGGTTGTAAGTCAAGACCTACCGGTATAACCACATCTATAATATAACCATATAAAATACGAGGGCAATTCGGAAATAAACCTCCCTTTGAGCATGTGCGAGAAGTAGGCGGGGATAGTGATGCCCGTCCTATGGCGTCGTGCGCAGTAGTTCAATAGGCAGTGAGGAGTGGAAGGAGCAAGTTGCATTGCAGTTGCCTCGTCCGCTAGATCAATTGAAAAGAAACCCTGCCATTGAAAATCCCGCCAAATGTGAAGTGCGTGCAGTAATATGATTCCTGTGTGCAAAAAAACTTTCAGCAGCTGCAATTCATCGCAAACTGTGTAATGTTTACGGACCAAACGTGATGAGTGAAGGTGTTGGAAGTCAATGGTGTCGCAATGTTTAAAGATGGACGAACTGACGTGCAGAATGAGGCAAGACGTGGCCGCCCATCTGTAGCCAGCGATGAACTCGTGCAGGAAAATGACAAAAAAGGTCCATGAAGTCTGTCAGTTCACGATATCTGCACTTTCCCCAAATTTCTTGGACTGTTTTGTACAAGGTAGTGACAGAAAATTTGGGATACTGCAAAGTTCTGTGGTCATCGAGTACTAAAACTCCTTTCTGAGGAGCACAAAACACAGAGAAAATGACAGTGATGCTGTTACAGGGCGGCTTCATTCCCAGGCGGGAGATTTCAAACCTTGTAAGACGATATGACAAGTGCCTCAATTTGAATGGCGATTATGTCGAAAAGTAATGTAACGTTGAAACTTCCTTGCTTTCTCCCTTATCCTACAGGCTGCCAATCATAGCCGAGGCTCAAGGAAGCAGCTGTGCCATGTTGAAGGGATCTAAAATCATCTCGGAATCTTGCAGTGCTGTGACCAAGTGGATCTGTGAGACAGAAGCTCTGGTGATGTAAATCATTGAAGAGAAAAACTAGAAAGGACTCTAGAATTGTAATTACACTGGTGAGGAATCTAGGTAGTCTTTGACTTACAACAATTCATTTAGTGACCATTCAGTTACAACGGCACTGAAAAAAAGTGACCTATGACTATTTTTCACGCTTATGACCACTGAAGCATCCACATGGTTATGTGATTTATATCTGGATGCCTGTCAACTGACTCACCTTTATGACAGTTGCAGTGTCCCGGGGTCACGTGATCATATTTTGCGACCTTCTGACGAGCAAAGTCAGTGGGGAAGCCAGGTTCATATCACAACCATATTACTAATTTAAGAACTGCAGTGATTCGCTTAACAAATGTGGTGAGAAATGTCATAAAATGGGGCAAAACTCACACGATTTCTCACTTAGCAACATAAATTTGGGGCCCAATTGTAGTCGTAAATTGAGAACTGCCTGTATTTCATAATGTGCTGTTCATATATTGTGCCATGAAAAATTACAGGAAAGTTTGAAAAATTTCTGAAGTTAAAAATGCAAAATTGAATGTCATTTTGGAGAAGACCTGCTTGTTTGATTAGGACAGGGGTAGGCAACCTTGGCTCTTTTATGACTCGTGGACTTCAACTCCCAGAATTTCTGAGCCAGCCATGCTGAGGGGAAAGGGAGAGGTTTCCAAGCTGAGCCATGCTGGCTCAGGAATTCTGGGAGTTGAAGTCCACGAGTCATAAAAGAGCCAAGGTTGCCTACCCCTGGATTAGGGCAATGGAGCATGCATACATCTGTTTTTGTGGATGCTTAAAAAAAATTATTAGTGTATTTTTATGTTATGTTAATTTATGTAGCTTCAGTTTTATGGACTTTTAAGTCCCAGAATTCCCAGCTTGGTAAGTCCACACATCTTAAAGTTGCATAACAGCTTCAGAAAAGACACACAGCTGCCCTTCACTTTGGCTTCACAAGGGCACATTTGAACCGTCTGGTTTTTGTTTTTTTGTTTGTTTGTTTTTAATTCTGAATCTTAACCAAGTGCAAGTCCAGCTTCTAGTTCACATTGACTAACAATATAATGATTCTATCTTATTGCTACTAATGTTATTGAAAGTAAAGATTTGTTGGAAAAAGATTGTGATTGAAAAACCTGCCTTTCTGATGCTGGAGAAAGTTATTCATGTTTGCAGTTTTTTTATTGTAAATATCTTTATTTTTTGTAACAAAATTTATAAAGAAAAGGAAGTTCAAAAAATTAAATGTATAAATGAAATACAAATTAAGAAGGATTTTTCTGTCTCTTGTTTTCCCATAATTTTTATTGTGGAGGCCAGGAAAGTTAATCAATGTGTGTACCATCCTTTGCCTGTCCACAACACAACACAGGGTATTGTTTTGGTAGGTCAGCTGGCCCCAGTGATATTCCGATAAATTATCCTTTATTGATTCTGTCTCCAAATGCTTTGTTTTTTCCCTTTAGGTGAGTGTTTTTTCTGACAACACCTATAACAGACATGTCAAACACAAGGCCCGGGGGCCGGATGTGGCCCGCGAAGTGGTTTCATGTGGCCCGCGAAGCCATCCTGGAAACAGTGAGGGAATGGCCCCCACTGCCTTGGCCCAGGCCCAGGCCGGCCGGGAGCCAATGTACAATTTTGTGGTGGCCATCTATGCTGAAACGCATTCAGTCTTAGCTCCATAAAGCCATCTGGAAACAGCGAGGAACCAGCCCCTGCCGTGTCAGCCCCACCCCTGGGTGCATGTTGGGGAGGTGTCACCCATTGTGAGGAGTGAAAAAATGCACCATCGCCTGGAAGTGGTCAGCAAATGGTCCTCGCCTACTTCACATATCCGGCTTGATGGGCTCCGGCAGAGGGGTTTCAGCAGGCAGTGGGGCTCCTCCAGTGGACCATGCCTTGGCACTAGCCCCGGTCCCATCCCCTTCTGCCAGAGACCCTCAGATCTGTCCCACTCCTGCCCAGGCCCCCACAGGCACCCTTGACGCGAATGATGTAGAGCTGGCCATGCCCACCCAATAGGCCACACCCACTCCATCCACACCCACCCGGTAGGCCATACCCACCCGGCCCCCCAAGGGCAACCGCAATGCTGATGCGGCCCTCAATGAAATTGAGTTTGACACCCCTGACCTATAAGAATCAAAGTAGCCAGGAGAGAATCAGGTGTGTCATTTATTTATGTAAAATAAAACAATTGCCATGATTTACAATATACACTACTTTTATATATTAATCCATTTGTTTGTATATCAAATATATATCCAACTTCCCAAAAGTGGAATTATTATTAGGGCCTTTGACTAGCTCCAACTCTGTTGGTTTTCTGGAAATCCCTCAAGTCCTGGTTATGATATCAGACCAGGAGAGAAATTCCATGTTTATTCTTTTTTAAAGGATGCTAACCTCAGACCTGACATCCAGAGATTTCAAGTATCAAATACCAGGCTATGCAACTTTACAAAACTTTTAATTATATATATATATTGTTTTATTGTTTTTTCCCCTTCTCCAATAAATTATTTCCCTTTTTTACTGTACTATTTTATTATATTTCCAGAAAACCAAGAGTTGGAGATAATCTCATTGAGGGGGGGAGGCCCCTTTCCTAGGACCCATGCCTTCTCTGTCAGAGCTAATACGATGGGCAGATGCAATTGGGGGGAGGTAGTTTCTCATTTAACCCAGTCCCATGCCATGAAGGGCTTTAAAGGTTAAAACCAGCACCTTGAATTGGACCCAGAAGCAAACTGGCAACTAATGCAACTTGTGAAGCAGAGGTGTAACAATATAATGCTGAAATCAATATAGATCTTATCCAGTGTTTCTCAATTTTTTTCTTCAACACGGATCCCATTTAAATAGCTTTTGTGGCCACAAACTATGGCCATGGACCCCCAAGACTTAACTCAAGATTTAAATCATAACATTTTTTTCATGCCTTCATGGATCGCCCTAAGATAACATTCCGGTCCCCCAGGGGCTGCAGACCACAGGTTGAAAACCACTGGCCTAAACTACATGAAGATTTAAACGCTCTAGAGTAGTAAACAATGTAGAAATGCAAACAGTATAGAGGTATAATAAAATAAAGTACAATAGCAGAAACACAGACTATATCATGCAGAAGAAAATCCAGAGGAAATCAGCAACTGATTAAATATCTAGTACAGTGGTGGCGAACCTATGCCACGGGTGCCAGAGGTGGCACTCGAAGCCCTCTCTGTGGGCACACGTGCCATTGCCCCAGCCTTGCCTCCCCCCATGACCCCCTCCTCTCCAGCAGCCCCCCTGAAGGAGAGTCGCCCCCAAGCGTGGCCCACACAGAGCAGCGCATTCAAGGACATGGCAGCCAGGCAGCGTAGACAAAAAAAAACAAAACTTAAACTTTATTACGGTCATAGACCAGCAATAGCCATCACTTTTTACAATATATTAAATAATAATAATAATAGTAAAAATAGTACTAACATTAATAGTAAATAATAACATCCCTGTTAAGAAAATACATGTTCTCAAAATGTTAGGATCACTCCCTAGTTTACGTGAGTGGATAGCCGATTAATGTGTGAGTAAATATAA